TTTTTGTCTATTTTTAAATGTAAAAATAGCTTCCTTTGCTTCCTCCGTTTCTGAGAGTTGGTGTATTTCTTGCATCATCTTGCTAAGTTTACGTTCTTGTGCCTTCTCTCTGCTCTCAACTAATTTCCTACGTGGGACGTGTTGTAGCGCCTGATTCCAATCTCTGGTGGCATTTAAATCAAGTAATATGGACACTACTTGATTCAAGCTTAAATTCTTATTTGACCCTGGACCCCAAGGTAAATATTGGTTTAAAGGGAACTTCTCCATTCGCAAACCTTCTTTCTTGGCTTTAGCCAATGTTAATGGCTGAGGGTTAACCTATTGGACACAACAAAAGTAGTTCAGCATTGAATAGTAATTAATGATGCATTGACCAGTTCGTTGGCTTTAAAGTAAAGTGTTTCCTAGTTAGGCTTCATCATCGGAAGTAAAGCTACAAGCATTAAAAAGGATTACTTTACCTTGTCTACCATTGTTCCAATGATATAAATTTTAGATGGATCATACGTTTGCATGTCTGTTTGACAGTGGGGTGTAAGGTAAACTAATTCCTTTTTTTCAAACAATTCCAAATAGGATTTTGTAGTAATGTTTAACATGAAGTCGTCGTTAAATAAATTTGGAATAAGAATATGAAGCTTTTTCATCAGTCGCCCCGAAAGGTCAACATTGGTTAAATAAATATTAAATGGCTCCTTGTGCATCCGATTGGAAGAATAAATAAGCGCCACCTGACGAGCACAGCTATTTATCTCCATGTCATTCATGGTATGATCAAAGCTGCAGTCAAAAATCAACTTCTGTCCAAATTGCATAGCTGTAGCCAAGTGGTAATTATAACTGACATTCATTGCTGCTTCATATATTCGCATGAAAAATGTATTGCCATGAAGACCATAAAATAATTTGTCCTTGTTATTCTCCCTCTCCTCTTTCAATTCTGTTATTTGTTTAAGAAATTCTTGTCTCTTCTCTGTTTTCTTCTTTAACCTGTTCTCTCTCATTTTTTCTAACTTAAACAAATGTTCAAGATACTTCCTGCAAATATAGATATTTGAATGAAATACATTCGTAAACAGTAATAATTATAAATGTTTTAGAAATTGTATTTAATACAGAATATGCAAAAAGCAGCTTCAGTAGTGATGGACAGCTAAATTTTTTTGTAATCATCTTAATATTCAGTTGCTTTGAAAAAGTACTAACAGTAGTTTAATACTACTGTTAATACTTTTTCATTTCAACAATAGTTTACACTATTGTTTTCTTGACCAATGCAATATTGTTGCCATACATTCATGTGCCAATTTTTCAAATAGGTTTAGAATAAAAATATATGGTCTAAGATCCTGTTGAAACATTATGGTGCAAATATTTGTTATATATTACATATCTTATGACATTTAAAATTCCTTCCCAAAGTAATAAAACACTAAATACATGGAAAACAATTAATACATTTTAGTTTTCAAAAATATTCTACATTGAAAACATATCTTATTATATATATTTGTTATAATATCATAGTTTGCTTTTCAGTGATGTATCAAATGTAAAGTACAATACATGTGCTTCAGCATATTTTAGGACCATAAATTAAGATTGTATATGTTGTAGCCATATTGTAAAATCCGATGTTTTGTAAAACCCCTCGCCATTTTATAAAACGCGGCCAGATGATGAAATCTTCGTTCCCTTAGCTTTATTTTATAATCTGGGTAGTCGTTTTACAAAACAACTAGGCATTTTCTAAAACAACTAACAACACACCACCACATTGGAAAATTCATTAAATTACCGCTTGTTTTACATTCCAGTTAAATCATTTCAGTCATTTTCCAAATAATGTTTTAATCAACAAATTTGAATAAATATTTAGGATATTTTTTTAGTTTAATCGCATAATCTACGAAACGTATATAAATAGATCAAACATATTCATCAAAATATACTTTATTCTATGTAAACAGGTAGGTTAGGTTAGCTAAAGTTATAGAAATGTAAGCACTTTATAGAATCATTCAAATAATTTAGCTGGAATGTAAAGTAGACAGTAATTTATTGAATTTGACAGTGCGGTGTTGTCTGTTTAGTCATTTTATAAAACACCTTGTCGCTTTATAAAATGACTAGCCGGATTATAAAAATAAAGCTCAACGAATGAAAATCTTACCAGGTGGACGTGTTTAATAAAATAGCTAGACATCTCATAAAAGAACTGGATTTTACACTCTAGGTACAACATATATATTAAACCTTTTATACAAAGGAATATGAAGATAAAATTAATAGTAGTATCCAATGAATGAATTAAAACCATTAATAAATATATAATTACAGAATGAGATGAACTAGTTTTAAATAGGATATTAATGACTGCCAATTGTTTTTCTTTGCTATTAATATGTATCTAAAGTGAAAAATATTAATAATTCTTCAATAGTATATAAAAAATGATCTGAACTAAGTTTGCTAAATGTATTCTTAAATACATTGTCATTATCAATGTACATGCAGCAACTGTTTTCATCTTATGATTTAAAAAAATTATTTTTGCCTAAACTTAAAAACTACTAAAAATGCACACGCTTGGAATAGGAATAATACGTATCATCAATAACTAAATACTATTAAAAATATCGTTACTAACATTCTCTTCCGGAATGATTTTGTGCTCAGTAGTTCCCACCACTGTCTTGCATTCAGGTCGGTAGGTATTCTTTCTCCTTCCTGCCTGGCAACATCAATTTCCAGTTGCAAAACTTTAAGTCGCTTATCGTTTTCTGGACTTTCTTGAATAAAATGATCTATTTTCTGTTGTGCTTCTTGCAGCAACTGGTTTCCTAATATCTTTGTCTGAAGTAAATTCTTATCATCGCTGCTACTAAATCTCTGAACAACGTAGCAATGCGATAAATTCAACTTGCAAGCATTACTTACATGCAAAACTCCTCTTGTGATATAAGTTTTATTTGTAGAAAATTTCAGTGCATTCACTAATGAACTCCTACAAACAATGGAATAGAAACGATGCAAGCTATTATACATCTTGAACATTAATAATATTTAAAGTCTCATGGTATCAAATATTCAAATCTGCATATATTATCTCTTCATAATAACATGTAATAATAACTGCAACATTTGCGAATTAACTACAAATATTTACGTATTTTACTAAATAATCAGTTCAATACAACCACACATAAGAGTAGTTTAGCCTTTCGCACTCTACAATCATTCATCCCATCAATCCGACCAATGCGTCCCGTTCGGTACCGTTTAAAACCTTTAGGTTATGAATACTGAAATAAACACCAGAGATGAGTTGGGAGATTGCTCACGGGCAGGGTCGCGCGNTGATTTTTGGAGCCGTTTGGCCGATGAACTCGTTGGATTCTTTCGCAAGAGTTTCGCGTTTCTGTACTCGGATTTCCATGGCTAGCTCCGGTGATTGAAAAAAATAGGGTTTTTCTCTATGTTAGGGTACGGAAGGTACCTACGTAACAGTACATATTGTACATCTTAAAATATTTATTCAAATTGTACAGAACTATTCTGCACTTAAGGGGTTGTTTACCCTCGGTAACGCTGTTATTTGTGAAAATCCTGAAAGACGTCAACTTTATTTTTCAATTTTAAGCACGAAAATGATTTTTCTGTAATTTATTTAATTTTATTGCAAATATTATATTCAAAAATGTTTGAAAAAATATCGTTTTTCTGAAATAAAATATAAGGGTTGCTACCCCCGAGGTCCGAATTACTGTCAGTAGTTTCGCCTACTAGAGAGAAATATTTTGTACTTTGATTCATTTCAAAACATCGAATACAACTCATGATATTTAGAAAAAACCGTTTTTGGGGGTAAACTTTAGGGGCGGTTTTCACCCCTGAAATAGGGGATTGGACGGATAAAAAAAAATACGTGTCTCTTATTTTTCGATCCTCTACAACATATTTAAATTTCAAGAAAATCGGAGACGGCACCTCGCGGGGTTTCCTTGCAAGATCGGCATTTGTTCAGATGCCAATCTTTTTGGGCGAGTAAGTTGAACGTGTTCCTTCACGCGAAATTTCGATCTTTTTAGTCAACACAATCAATTTCTCTTAGCGAAGCACCCTAAGGTTATACTGGCCATGAGCCCCTCAGGAGAATCATTAATTTATTGTAAATCTAGTTTATTTGACCACTATTCCCTTTCGATATTTCTGGCGCGCGGTTTTTCTATAAAAGTATTTGCTTACCGTCATTCTACTAGTTTCATTTTTCATTTCAATTACATCACGGCGATTTTTAAGAGAGACGACTCATTCCCGGCCTTCATTTTTATCATTGCACCCTGCGTTTTCCCATAATTATTTCATGTAAACATTTCTTATTGTAATTTTCTCTGAGATTCTCTCGTCTTTCGAACGACTTTGTCCTACGACAACTTATTGTGAATAGAGCAGTCTTTTTCATGTTTAATTTCAATTTTTTTTAAATTAAAATCTTCTCATTAATTTATTAATTGCGTTATTTCTTTTTCGGTCGAGTGCCTCACCTACTTCTTATCCTTATTTTCTGAAGCGGAAAAATATTTCGAATTTTGACAATTTGAGTTCATTTTTGGAGAGTTTGTGTCACACGGTCTTGCCCCGCCCTCTCCGAATCGTGGCGCGTGCGCTCTGAGGTAATTGGCCGCACCGCACCGATCGCCACGACGCCGGACCGCCCGAGAAAACTTCTTTCGAATTTGTGAGTCAAGTTCTTGATGCTTTTAGATTTGTTTTGAGTATTTGCCTTCCAGTGAGGCCTGGCGCCCAATTATTTGTGCATCTTGGTGGAATTTATGCTTTCCTGGTGGAAATTTGAGTAAAGAAGCGTCAAAAAGTCCTTTGACCATTTCTTTACTCAAAGGACTTTTTGATGCTTCTTTGAATCTCACGAGCGGTCGCGCCAAAGCGGTCGAGCGAGGGTGACGCGCGATTGTCGCGGCGCTGAAGGCCACGACCGGGTTCATCCAATCCATTGTCCACAGGACAATATATACTGTCACGTGGCAGGACTCTGCCGTCACAAGTCGGAGCAGAGCAGGAACAGTGAGTACCAAATTAATTGAGAATTTCTTCCAGCATCGCTTAGCAACTCTCCAGTCTTCCAGGAACAATCGGTAATTGTAAGTAGCGGCGATTTTCTCTGATTGTATTGTTCAGGTAATCCGTCGGCCAGCCGATCTACCGCGCGCGGTCTTGTGTGGGCCTTCGGTTACTGTGCCGCGTCGAGGAAGTTTTTGGGGAAGGCGCTGCCATCTATAGGGTAATTAATGGCTTTCGGCGGAGCGTGGACCTTTAATCGGCGCGCCGCGAGACTCTTCCCGACATCTAGCGTGGGCCTAGTTAATCGCCTAACGCTCAACGATCTCACGGTCACCGGAGGATTTCGGAAGGGAGTTTTCCGTAATTCGAGCGATCTTGCCGGTCCTCGGAGCTCATTGCCCTGGATGCTCCGAATGTCGCCGGTACAGATGTCAATTCCCGAATTCCGCTGCCGAAAGGGGAAAAACGCTGCCTTTTCCGCCCGCTCCTGACGACTTGGGTGAACAAACCCGAGCTGGGTTCTATTAGAGTTCATTTGCGCTGCCATAGAAATGTGACTGTCAGTAAAACCTCCTTGGCGCATGCCCCTCCAGCTAGTTTCCGATTTTATTGCGCGCCTCGCAACTGGCGGGCGGCCGCGCGTGCCGGAAGCGTAATTGTCTGGTAAACCCGCGATCCCGTGGCGGGTAGCTCTCATGCGTTCCTGTGTATGTGCTCCGGCGTTTGTGATTTAGGTAGGACTCGCTGTTCCGCAGTCGAAAGTGACAGGCCGCGGACCGAGCGGATTCCGGTTGTCGCGTCCACCGCGACTTAACCGATCGAGTGGCTATACGATCGGCTCCGTAGGACTCCTTGTCTAGCACTATAATAACTTTAATTTGAGAGTTCCGTGGAGGAACGGTGGTTGCCAGTACAAGACCTTGCGATGTATGGTCCTTTTCGAAACCTCGCGTAGCCCCTTTTAAGGTCGCATCGGTTACATGTTTGCATCTGATTGGTCGGTAATGTTATGGAGAGGATATTTGCAAAGTGAAATTCTTCCGTGCCTTGATTGGCCCATTAAGTTGGAGAAGGGGTTTTTAAAACTAAGTAAGAATCGGAGGTTTTGTAGACCGACGCGGCTAATGAGTCATCGTCGACGATCTCGGAGTAACCCAGCAGGTGTTCATTAACTATAATATCACCCTGGTGCCGCTCGTACAAGTCGTAATCAGAAAACGAGGGTGCAAGGGCATGACCCTATTTAGGACGCTCAAAATATTGAAGTGCGATGAGGAAAGTCCCGCCATTAAGGGGGAAAACCACATTAGGTTGTTCAAAAAAACGGATTTTTTATTATATAAATTGTTAGTATAACTATTCAAGAATACGTTGCCAAAATTTCAAAGCGAGATTCAAATTTGTTCCGGTTTTATGAGCCTAAAACCGACCGCCCATTGAGTCACCGCTCGTCCGAACAGCAGATAGGGTGTAGCACTCTCTCAGGTTGTCACTTTTCAAGGAAAGGTCGGAAAGCAAGAAAAGTACAACTGCAAGCTCATAATTATGCCTATGAGGAAGAAGAAGGATTATTATGGCGCTGGAATTGCTGATTAATCGGTAAGCACTCTATATTATTGATTATTTTTTCAAATTTCTAATTTTCGGAAATTTTGTTTCAAACGCGTTTTTCTCGAATCGACATTTTTTTTATTCGCGGGAATTCTAACTCAAAAAGTTATGAACCGATCGTTATGAAAATTGAAAGTGTTTCTTTATGGAATTATGAAGAACATGAACCAATATTTGGGTTATCATAATTTTAAAGGTTTTTTCTATTGCCAAATGAAAGATAAAAGAAAAAAAATTGTGAAAATCGAGAAATTTTTTTCTCACACCTGTCAACACTTCAATTTTTACAACTTTTACTCGCAATGAGGTTCATATTCCTAGAAAACATGTTAATAACATAAAAAAACAACCATTTTGCTTTCAGATAAGAATTGTGACCTCCACATTTCCCCCAAGCAACGAACTCAGACGACGATCTTCGGTGAACAACAGCCCATAATTTCGATATTTTCGTCAAAACTGACTTGACAAAAATTCGTAAATGTAATTAAAAAGATCAATAAAATAATGTAAAAGTTAAATCAAATTCCAATTCATTTTTCACACTCAAAAAAATTCATGAAAAACGCTTGAAAATCAGCCTCCTAATGTGGTTTCCCCCCTTAATGAAGAATATTTACGGATCGCTTATTCAGCCTAAGGGATAATAGGGTTTAATATGGTATAATGTCCGTTTAAGTTGAGTTTAATGAATTCCACGGTCGTAAATGAGAGGGAGAGAGAGAGAGAGAGAGGGAGGAGAGGGAAGAGAGGGAGAGAGAGGGAGGAGAGGGAGGAGAGGAGAGAGAAGCCAGACTAATTAACAAATCTTACGGATGTAACACCGGTAGAGCGTTGTGCTCTGGAGGGTTTGCGTCGCAACTCGTCCCGTCGGGGCCACGTGGCTCCTGATTTAGATTTTTGTGCTGGCGGGATCTGTTAGGTCGGGGATCGTTTACTCGGGAGCGGTGATGGCGATTACCCGAGGGTGTCGATCGGACCGGGCCTCGTGGGTACGTTTTTGGGGACTCGCTTCCAGATGGTTGAAACCAGCCAAAGACCTCGTCGAGTAAAGTAACGAAAATACTTTATTTTCGATTGCCTCTTGGTTTACAGGAACGACTCGTAGACTCGGTCAACTCAAGGGGACTAGCGTTCGCCGAGTTACAGGTGTCTCGCACGCAGGTTACAGAATGGAGACAGTTCAAACTTATATAGATCAGAGCGCAGAGCGAGCAGAGCAGACCTTTTTATACTGACCTAGGATGTTCCTAGGCGCGGAGGAGGATGCTTATTGGTGAGTTTTTAGGATTGAGGAGAGAAATGTCTCATGTGATTGGCTTGGGGACAGGTCGAAGGGGAAACAGGTGGAAAGTGTCTTTTCCAGAGATTCTGGATGTTTGACATTTCCCAGGGCTGTTATCTAGTTTGGGGTGTGGAAGTACTCGGATAAACAAAGGGGAGATAGGAACGAGGGAGAGCATGTCTCCAGGAGCGCTTTGGAGCACGAAACGTGTTGCTTAATCTCTTTCTTAATATTACTTAAAATAAAACGTTAGGTACGGACCTAACAGATCCCGAAGTCCAGTGTCGCGCGTTCGGTAACTATTAATTATTATTGAT